TCTTCCAACCCCTCCGGATTTGCCTTCTTTGGAATAAGAGAAATGAAGGAAAAGTTCACCTCCGGCTCCCATACCTTCCCCACATAGAAATCCCTAAAAAACCGCATCATATCATCCTTCAATTTAGCCCAGAACTTCTTAAAAAACCCTAAGTTCAGACCATCCGGACCGGAGCTTTGTTGATATCCGATGAGCAATAGCTTCCCAAACTTCCTCTTCAGAAAAAGGCTTCTCCAAAGCTAAACACTGACCTTTGGACAGCTTGAGAAAATCCAGATTTAATTCCTCTGCCTCCAGGGTGTTTGTTTGATTATACAACCTCTTGAAAAACTCCACCACTGAAGCTTTAATTGACCTAGGGTCTTCAATAACTTCACCATCAACTTTGATAGCTTTTATGTAGTTTATCCTCCCTCTAATTGCTGCACTATGATGGAAAAACCTTGTGTTCTTATCCCTCTCCAATCTCCATTTCAATCTAGACTTTTGCATCCAAATTGATTCTTCCTTCTTTTGTAACTCCCATAATTCTCTCTTTGCTTCAACAATAGAATTCATTGACACCAAAAAAGACCCTTGTTGCAATTTCATTTCCATATCCTGTATCACAGACTCCATGGTTCTGATTTGGCCTGGTAATTGAAGAAAACCCTTACCAGCCCAATTTTTTGCGACATCCTTCACCCGGTTAAGAATTTTGGAAATGGGTATCGAGTTTTCCTGTGTACCCAGATTGAACAGTTCTTTTGTCAACAGTTCACTAACCCTTCCTCCTCCAACTATAATTAAACAGTCTAAACGGTTTCGGCCCCCAATTGCACTCCCTATTCTCCAGCAGAATAATATTATGATCAGAAATGGACCTAGGCTGCAGATTTTGGTTGATCTTTGGGAATTGCGAGAAAAAACTATGATCAACTAAAAACCGATCCAATCTCTCAAAAGTGGGAACTTCCCTATTATTACACCACGTGAACTGACCTCCCAATAAAGGCAAATCAATTAGATTTGCCTTAGAGACAAAATCTCGAAAAATATTCATCGACATCAAATTCACATCACCACCCCTTTTCTCTTCCTGCGTAAAAAAGACATTGAAATCCCCACCTAAACACACTGGACAGTCCACCTGTTCCAGAAAGGAAAATAAATCCCTGAAAAATGGCTCTTTATCAGCCTCCACACTTGGACCATAGACATTTATGAAACAACAATAGTTTGGCATACCATCCAACCAACCCTTTAACGCCACAAATCTAGTTCGGATGACCTTTTCCTTCACCAAAAATACCTTCTGATTCCACATTGTTATTAGACCACCAGCCGAACCTACAGCAGGCACAACTACCAAACCATTAAGGATTTTACCTCCCATTTTCCTACCTAACATAGTGCTAACAGTTTCCAATTTGGATTCTTGCAAAAATAAGATAGTTGGTTTTTCTCCTCTATTAATTTTTTTTATAGAAGTTGTAGGCCTCGTTAAAAACTCCCTTCGTATTCGTCCACATACTAAGAAGTATGTTGACGAACATTGGAAAGAAGAAAAGAGTACCTCATAGTTTATTATTATTAATATCGAATACATATGAAAACATGGGATATTCTCATATCGAGAAACACCATTACAACAAACCAAAAACACCGAAAAATCTCACATCCTCAACCAAAAAACCCCATCGACAATTACTTTGTTTCTAATTTACACCTCCAACAAAAGGAACAAAACAATGCAAAAGAACATAACACAAAAGAAAACCAACACCTGCAACCATTAAACTAAATCAAAGGCCCAATTAAAGAAACGAGATCTAATGAGTATCGACTTCGTCAGGGACCCAAGAATTTGGTTTGAAGGAAGGGTCAATTTCATGCACCATGATTTTGAAGGAGTTAGCACCGACCTTCAACTCCAACGACTCGTCAAGTCTCAAATTAGCCTTTGTGAGGATTTGAATTTTTGCCCAATCAAAAGATGATGGTGACTGACATCTTTTGTCGATTGCTAATAAATTGCCCCACCTGAATGCAAGTTTTTGAAAGTATCCCAATTCCAAGTGTGAAAAGGAACTCCCTCGCAAACTAGCCACACTCGACGACATTCCACCACCAGACTTTCTGACCAGGCTTCAACTCTGGAGAACCACTTAGCGAGTCTCTGATTCATCATTCTTCACACTTCTCAATGAAGCAGAGTCTTCAAAAATCATTAGTAATGCATTTCCAACAACTTTCATTAACGAGAAACCAATGAGGCCTTTGGCTTGCATTTGACTAGCGAGATTACCGATTTTGATAAAGTCCTTACACCAACCCACTAGACATTTACTCAACACGTTAAAATTATCCTCGTCCGTAACACCTTCAACTTCACAATGATTATTCCTCGAAACTACTTCCATCCAAGACTTGTGGTGAGTAGTTGTCGAGGTCTTTCTCCCAAAAAAGACTGTCGAGGTTTAAATTTAGCCAAAGAAACACTAATTTTGTTGTCATCAATAAAAGAACCATTCATTTATGAGATTGCTTTCATTGCTTCTTCGATTTTTGCAAAACGAATGAAACCAAAACAAACCCTTTTTGAATTTCTTTTGTTAGAAATGAAAGCATCAATAACCCGACCGTGGGTACAAAAAAAAGATCCAAATCTCTTCCAATGGATCTTCTCTGATAAATTTTCGATAAACAATGTGTAGCAACCACTTTTGTACCCATTACGGATTTTCGGTTGGCCTTCCTTCCACCAATTGTGAAACCCGATTTTCCTCCTTGCTACTTCAGACGACATTTCATCGGAATACCCCTTCGTGGTGAACTCCTTGGTTCCATCGTGATCAACATCAACGACAGAATGAGCTGGTGATGCCGCTACTGAAGAAAGCTTCCCAATCCTACATTTCCTTCCTTGTGAAGGAGACAAACCATCAGGTCGAGATTCATTTTCCGCCATATTTCTAACAAAAAAAGTATCCTTATTCGCCGACGAAGCCTCCAATCGGGATCTCATATGGATTTCCCTACTTGATCTCGACTTAACCTGACCCCGGCTATCTCCACCACTCAACGGCTACTTCCGATTACCACCATTGACAGTTTCCTTCTCAACAGGTGAATCCCGCCATTCTCGGCCCTCGGCGAGGGATTGGAAACGTTCACGATTTTCCGGTTGTGATTGGATAACTCGTAGTCGCCTCCTAGCCGTCATCTTTGAGCCAGAACTCTCAGGATGAACAATTAATCGAAGTCTGGACTCTCCGTTGGCAAAACCCAAAGGTAAGAATGCCTTGTATAACCCCGGCAACAACCTACCTCGAATCCGAGACGATCCAGCGACTACTGAAGGAGAATACATTGTAAGTCGAACTGATGTCGTTCGATTTAAGGAGAAGGAACCCAATCGCAGAATGGGATTACTGTAGCCAAAGTGTGTCACCGGCGATGGCGGCAAATTTGAAGAACACTCCGCTTAGGTCCACTGAGATGAGGATCTCCCTCAAGAAACAAAGCATATCCTTGATGATGGCGTCGAGGATAAGCAAATCTGGTAGATTCGGTGATCAACGACGGAAGAGAAGAACGGGAAAGGAGGCCGTCAGTGGGAAATCTGCTGCGGAAGATATGTCAGTCGGAGAACCTCTTCATAAAACAACTGCTTGTTTCTTCATGAAAATCGGCTAGAAGATTTGATGAACACTTGGCTTAGGTCCACTAAGATGAGGATCTCCCTCAAGAAACGAAGTCTATCCTTGATGATGGCGTCGAGGCAAGCAAATCTGGAAGATCCAATGATCAATGGCGGAAGAAAAGAAAGGGAAAGGAGGCCGTCAGTGGGAAATCGGTTGTGGAAGATGCGTCAGTCGATGGTGGAGAACCTCTTCACAAAACAGCAATTTGTTTCTTCATGAAAATCGGCTGGCATAATTGAAAATCTTCCTCTAGATCTACGACGATCTAGTTTGATTTTGAGAAAGCCAACCACATATTCATAATCGGGGTGAAGAGAGGCTTTGAATGGTGGCTTTTCCTTGCTATTCTGATGCCGAAGAGCGGCAGTCGGAGCTTGGTGACGGTGGATGGCGCAGCAGTGAAAGTGGTGGCCGGCTGTTGGGTTAGTGAGGGAATGACATTGGGGAAGATATTTTCAAGGAAAACTTTTTTAAAACGCCCAAGTTTTAGAGAGAAGTTGGAGCTTCTCTTTTTTTTGATAGGAATTGTAGGCCTCATTAAAAAAACCCTTCATGATTAATGGAACACAGGGTGTTCTTTAATCAGCGGAAGGAGGAAAAGTGTGCCTAAATGTTCATTAATACCCGCAAGTTACAAAAGCTTAGAGACAACCATGCAATTGCTAATTACAAATAACCAACCCAAAGCCTAAAAGATAACCCAACCAAACCAAAACAGTAAATCTAGCCAATACCAGCCTTAGCTAAACTATCAGCCTCAACATTGGCTGACCTAGCCACCCATCTAATAATACCATTCAAACCTCTAAGCTTATCAACGATAGCTGTCACAAAGTCTAAGTAGACATAGGGACAACATTCGTTGTTCTTGACCCAATCCACTACTAATTTACTGTTTGTTTCAACGATTAAACGTTCCTTAAAACGCTGCTGAATCGAAGCAAAGAAGGATAACCCCTTGTTAATAGCCTCAAGTTCTATTAAAATATGAGGACCTGGACCAACAGCCTCTTGAAAAGAACCCACGACAAAGCCATCATCAAACTCTTAGGATGCCCCCAACACCACTCTTCCTCCAATCTGCAGTCACAGCCGCATCCACATTCAGCTTTAGAAAGTCCTTATGAGGTTGAGACCAAGACACTGTTTTGATGACTGGAGAGCTGGGATAAGAGTAACAATCCCCAAGTGATGGATCACCAATGAGGGTCTACTATGAGGGAGGTTTTTAATGAGGCCTCCTACTTTTATAAAAAAAAAAAGAATTCAATATCAAAAGCAAACTAAGCAGTAGTAAATAGGGAAAGGGCATGCCTCCTCCACGTGAAGATGACTGAGATATGGATGATTGCATATGTTACGAAGCTCCATAACAGAGTTATGCACCGATCGAGCCTGCAAAAGAAGATTGGAATTAACAATAGTAAATGTCTAAAATAGATAAGATTAAATTTTAACTTAGCAAAGGAATAAATGAGAATCAAACTTCCTAAAAAAACCTTTGAATTTCCAATTGCACCAAGATTTTCTTCAACCCTCTTCATCAAAAGCTTTTGATAAGCAGAAGCTTCGCATCTTACAAGCCTCTCAATCTTCTCAGGAAGTTCATTTTCAACCTACCAAAAAATTTAAGATGATGCAAACCAATAAGCATACCAGAATTTCAGAGCATCTTAATATAATCCAAAATAAAGAATTCAAAAAACAGTGCCAATTAAATATCAATAAAAAAGGATGACCTCAAACATAACATCCATGTAAATACAAACCTTATGTTTCAGCCTTCGAAGTACAAAAGGTCGAAGAACTTGGTGGAGACGGTTAATGATCAACAAATTCTCCTCCTCGGATAGTAGTGCCTAGTCAGAAATAACAAGCATGAACACATAAATTTGTTGATAGTGTAGTAAATAATATTCATAGCTAGATTGCAGAAATTCACTACTTACTTCCTCAGCAGAATTATCCCCAATACTCTCAAATGGCTTGTTGAACCACTGAGAAAAAAAATTGAGCAATGCCCACAACTCCTCAAGATTATTCTACACAAAAAGATCGGTTAAAATTTAGTCATTACTTCATACCAGCACCAAAAACAAACAAAAAGGCAGCAAGAAATACAGCTGGCTTTTTCAAGGGGTTGTTAAACCAGGAAAATACATTGGAAGTTGAGGAACTGGACTTGGACTTTTTAAAGCTCTCGAATCAGCAGAGTATGGCCCTCGAGAAGCCTTTCTCTGAAGAGGAAATTTGGGGTGTAATCGCTAATTCGGATAGTAACAAAGCACCTGGCCCTGATGGACTGAATTAGGCTTTTTAAGAAGTTTTGGCCAAGTCTGAAGAAAGTTTTGCTGCTGTTTTTTAAGGAATTTTATGAGGGAAAGGAATGGGACATGGAAACCAATCACTCTTTCCTCTCTCTTATTCCAAAGAGGGACAATCCGGAGGGGCTTGAAGACTTTAGACCTATTAGTCTTGTTGGGGGTTTCTACAAATTCTTTCAAGTTCTAGCTAGAAGGTTAAGCTTGGCATTAATGATGTTATTAGTCCATCACAATTCGCATTTATTCCGGGGAGACGCATTTTAGATTGTTGTTATAGCAAATGAAGGCATCGATTGTGGAGGAAAAAAGGATTGAAGGGAGTTGTCTTTAAGGTGGACTTCAAAAGAGCTTTTGATTCGGTTGATTGGAGAATCTTGCTGAAAATAATGAGTAAAATGGGGTTTGGAGCTAGATGGAGTTCTTGGATGTATAAATGTGTTTCAACAGCTTCAATTTCAGTCTTGGTAAATGGCACTCCTACGGAAAAAATCAACATTACTAGAGGTCTAAGGCAGGGCTACTCGTTATCCCCTTTGTTGTTCAATTTGGGAGGGGAATTGCTACATTTAATGTTGGTGAAAGCAGTGAACAAGGGGCTTTTTTCGGGTTTTGAATTAGGCTCTAATGATAGTTCTTTCATGTTATCTCATTTGCAATTCGCGGATGACTTAATAATTTTTAGTAAGGCTTCTAGTCATGATTTGGTGATTATTAGGAGGGTGCTTCTAATTTATGAACTGCTGGTGGGTTTGAAGTTGAATTTATCCAAGAGCAGAATTTTTGGAATTAACGTGGGAAAGGAGGAGTTAGTTTCATGGGCAAAGGAAATAGGGTGCGTAAAGGGAGTTTTTCCATCGGAGTACTTAGGTCTTCCATTGGGGGCCAAGAGGAATTCTTTTTCCCTATGGGAACCGGTTGTACAAAAATTTTATAAGAGTTTGGCTGGTTGGAAGGCCAAGTCTTTATCTCTGGCGGGAAGGGTTGTCTTTTGGGGAAATGGGTGCGGAAATTTCCTGCAGAGAAAAATTCTTGGTGGAAATCTGTTGTGTGTTGTGTTTACAATTTGGATCCTAATTCTTTGATGATCCGGAATACTTGGACAGCTCATACTTCTTGGATTTGGAGAGGAGTTGTTAAGAACTTTTCAAGTGATGCATTTGGGACTGTTTTAGGAGAAATTTGTGTGTTAGAGCAGGAAATGGAGAAACAGTTAAGTTTTGGCATGTTGTTTGGTTGGGTTCGGTTCCTCTTAAAGATAGGTTCCCAAGGTTATTTGCTCTCTCGAATAACAAAGAGGGTAAGGTTGCAGAATTCAGGTTGCATAATGATGCGGGTTGGGTTTGGGATATTCAAACGAGAAAGAATTTGGTGGATTGGGAGGTTGAGCAGTGGCGACAAATTATCTCTCTATGGAATAACTCTTCTTTGTCCCTAGTAGAGGAAGATTGTTGGATTTGGTTGGGAAATGGAGAGGGTTGTTTTACAGCAAAATCATGCTTGAAAGCTTTTGATAGAGGGTAATGATGAATTAGAAAGCAATTGGGAAAAATATGTTTGGAAAGGAGTAGCTCCACCACGTGTGGAATCTTTTGTTTGGCAACTTGCTCATCATAGAGTTGCGGTGAAAGAGGAACTGCTGAAGAGAGGAGTTACTGGGGTTGAAGACTCTGTCTGCCCTATGTGCAGGAAGTACAATGAGTCGGTCGCTCATTTGTTTCTTCACTGCGAAGTGGCATGGGTTTTGTGGGCTAAGTTTTTAAAGTTATGGAATGTTTTCTTTGTGGTTCCTGCTTCGTTGATGGATTTCTTAATGGCCTAGGATGACCTAGTACCACGATCTCACATATGGAAGTTTATTCCAAGAGCAGTGTTGTGGTCTGTTTGAAAATGTAGGAATGAGGTGATTTTTCAGAAAGGGAAGGTTGATTCAGCGTTGTTGTTCTTCATTACACGTTTCAGAATTTTCTTGGTTTGAAACATCAGTTAAGGATGTTCACTTTCATTTCGACTCTCTGATGGGGGATTTAAAACTAGCAGATCAACTTGGTAATCCGAATAAGAAGAATTTTCCTTCTTCTAGGTGGAGTCCTCCGAAAGGGTTTTTAAAAGTAAATGTTGATGGTGCATTGGTTAAAGATTGGGATAAGGGTGGAATAGGTGGCTTGATTAGGGATGGCAGTGGGTTGGTGCTTGGGTCATTTTCAGAGAAGGTAGGGGGAGGTCCTCCTTTACTCGCTGAGCTTTTGGCTATCAATAGAGGGTTGATTCTTATTGAGGAAGTTGAAGTTGATTTCTGTCCAAATCAGAGGATCATTTTGGAATCGGACTCTTCTAATGCTCTGAAGTGGATTAATAATCTGAATCTTAGTACTACTTTGTTTCAATCCTTGGTAACGGATATAACTTCTACTGTGGAGAGGAAGGGTATTATCACAAGGCACATCTCGAGAGCAGCTAATTGGGAAGCGGATGAATTAGCTAAAGCTGGCATAGGCTGACTTTAGGTTTGTGTAATTGTTAAGGTGTTATGTCTCGGTTGTTACTATTTAGGGTGTATTAGGGTGTTTTGCTTTCAGAATCATGGTTGTTCTGTTTTGTAAGATGTTGTTAGGTGTGGAGGTGTATTATTGTTCTCATTAATAAAAAAGTTAGAGGCACTCTTTCCCTCCTTCCAATGTCCTTCATGTTATGTTTGTAACACGTAGGATAAGAAAGGGGGTTTTAATGAGGCCTTATTCTATCAAAAAAAAAACTACAAGCATCCAATACAAATGGAAAATGGAAAAATACATATTAAAAACTTTCAGAGAAAATTATCTGTAACCTGTAGTGGTGTTCCAGTCAGTAGCAATCTATGAGAGCTCTGATAGTGCTTTAAGTCCGCGTTCAACTTGCAAGAAGCATTTTTTATCCGATGACCTTCATCAATTATAATATAGTGCCAATGAATTTTGCTCAACTTTGGTCTATCATGCTTGTTCATTAGATACTCATACGTTGTCAAGAGAATGTTAAATTTCTGATGTACAATCCTCTCCCTGCACCAGAAATGGATAACGGAGCTTATACAATTTTTTTTTGATAAGAATTTCAGGCCTCATTAAAAAGCTTATACAATTTAAAGTGACAATTTATAGGATAAAAAGGTTTTTTTTTTTTTGATAGAATAGGATAAAAAGGTTTTCATTCATGTCGGCAAGCCATTACTTGAATAATCTGCGCCTCTCTTCTGGAGGTCCAGCATAAACAATTTTGAGTATTTCTGGAGCCCAAAAATTGATTTCCGACTCCCATCCAGGCAGAACTGAAGATGGCACAACCACTAAAAATGGTCCTCTATCATTTTTGGTTTCCATTAGATAACAAATAAGAGAAATAACCTACAAAAAACACAAAATTTACAAATGAAAAAAAATTAACAAAAATTATATACAATAAACTGCAATCAAGAGAAGATTCAAAACCACCGATACCTGAACAGTTTTGCCAAGACCCATTTCATCAGCAAGAATACCATTCAGATGATTGTTGTAGAGTGAAACCAGCCACCTAAGGCCATTCATCTGATACCTGAACATCAAAGGTATATTTTTAAGAAATTTCACCCAAGATAATAGAAACAGCACTCCCTATGCCAGCCATTCCAAAATATATATATATTGTTAGTCAGGTGCATATTTTACTTACTCTCTTAATTTTCCACCCTTGAGAAATGTTGGTTGCTCACTGATGTTTTCTTTAATGCTGCAAAAACAATTTTAATTGTGAACCCTCCAGCAGTTACAAATAATTTGATACTAATTAGTAAAGGACTTTGTCAAATATAATGACCCCAAGAGACATCCAAAGTTACATTCATTAGGAAAATGAAGCAGGAAAAAAGAACGTAGCAAATGTGGTACCTATGAGCCATCAGGTAGTACTTTTCATTGCTTTCCATGTAATGCTGAAGAGCAGATTAACAATAAGAGAAATTCAACATATCAAAAGAGGTGATTGTGGAAAGAGAGGAAGAAACACAGAAGATGCACAAGAAAAAAACTTGCCTTTGCCTCATCTTCATTCTCGATAGCAGTGTCATTCTCAACTACACTGGCAGTTCGAACCTCATCCATATTATTCTCAAAGCGGCTTGCAATAGCCTTTGCATCCTGTAACTTGGATCCAAGTTTCTGAAGATATTTCTCAGTTTCTTTTAGTAGTTGCTTAACACGATCCGATTTAGCATCCTGTAAAACATCACAAATGATACCAAGTAAGAATAAGTAAGACGAAACACATTGGATTACCAAAAGCTAGTAAGCTTAAACTAACCTGAACCATTCGCAAATAACCCTCTACATCATTGATTTTAAGTAAGTTAATCTTCTCTCGCTGGATTCTGTCTATCTTCTCACGATGTATACGCTCCTTTCTCTTATGGAATTCCTTCACATATCTATTGAAACCTTTCCAACGTTCTCTCCTAACTTTGAACATTTCTTATGGAATTCCTTCACATATCTATTGAAACCTTTCCAACGTTCTCTCCTAACTTTGAACACGTCATCCAGCCTCTCCCTGTGGTTTCAATATAGCACGTTAGAAAGCAACCAGTTTTATTTAAAGCAACTAGATAGGAGAGGCATTTATTTGTAACAAAGAGCGAAACGGCAAATACTTGTGAACTTCTATCTCACTGAAAAACTCCTTCTGTCTCTCACTTCCTTTCGCTCTTCTTCATTTTTCTGCTCATATCTTTCAAGTTGCTTTATCCTTCTACCATGTCTGTGTTTCTTGTATGATTTCAGGCGTTCCATATCATTAGCAATTGGTTTAAAAAAGTCATTCAGAAAATCACTGCCAAGTTTAAGAAGAAAATATCAAATGATAAACCATAGTAAAATTAAGGAAACTGTCAAACCAATTCATCTACAACCTTGGCACAATAACATAAGAAATGTAATAATAACTTAAAAGGGAAAATTTATAAGGGATTAACCTCCGTAGGCGACGTTGAAGCTCTAATAATTGAAGTTTCTTCAATTCTATAACACTTTTGGTTTTTGCAGAGATATCTTCAGAAGAGCTCACATTTCCCTACATGTGAATGCATTAGTTGCAAAACAATTTGTCCACACAACGCTAAATCCTTAGTGAAACAATACATTTCTATGAACTCCCTATTTATGATAGAAGTTACACAAAAGACGTTGAAAAAAGAAAAGGAAAAAAGAACCACCTTAAAAAGGGATAAGTTTAAACACACATTTGACAACACCACAAGGTGTCATGAGATGCATAAACAATGACTTCCCAACAACACAATGTTGGGAGAGGCAAAAAAAAGGAGGGGGAATAACAAACAAGAAACAATGTAATGCCAAAAAAAAAAAATCTCTAAAGATATCTGAAGTCCTCATTTGTTTGATTTACTTGCACTTGAAGTTTTTATACCATACCTGTGATTCTTTAATCAATTATTCCCATGCAACAAAAGACCAATTTCATCCAAGTTTCTAAGCTTTAGTTATAAAAATCACCCATCATGCAACAAAATCAACTTCACCCAGTGTAAACTTAAATCACCCATTTGTAGCCAATATGATGATTTTACCCGAGTGTTAGGGATGAATTCCTTTTTTCTATCTAGATCATAGATTATGATGCAGAAACATAAACTCTAAAGAAAAATATAAAACCGTTCCATGTTTTATCACAAAAAAAAATTAGACTTTTTATCGAAATGAAGTCCATACAAAATAAAAATAGAAATTGTTTTATTAGAACAGAAAATATGTGGTCATCTTCCTTCTTAAGGATTAACTTTCTATTTCATGCTCGCTCATTTTAATGAGATATTTTTGGCTGATTTTACAACATTTCTACTTTTCTATTCATACAGAATATGCGGATAGTGATACTTTCTATATATAGCAGTGCACAAATATTAGAGTAAATAATAATCATATCCTTAAAGATCTTGTGGGATAATGGCTTTACAGACAAATAAGAAAGAAAACCAAGGTTATTACCATGTAATAATAACTTAGAAGAAAACTTGTGACAGACCTTTAATTTCGTGAAACAAGTAAAAATTCTTTGCCTTGTTTTTTGCTGTTTTACAACCCACTTCTGCTCAGCCAAGAACCTTCGTTTCTGCTGATCCATAATCCATTTCTCAGACATAGTATGCTTTGGAGATGGAAATGGACCAGTTGATACAGATTTATTCTGCTCGACTTGCTCTGTGGTAAAACAGACACCACTTCTCAGAACTCTATTACTAGAAATAATTTAGACCCAACTCAGATTAATCTTGTTTATAATTCAGAGAATTTTCAGATTCTCAGCACCTTATTCACCAGATCACAGAGGTTGACTTCATTAAAAGATGCCCCAGAAGCTTCATTATGAAAGCCAATTCCAGACCAGGCCATCATTTCAGGGTTCACTTGTTTACTAGCACCCATTACAGAAGAGGCTAGATCAGCCTTTGCAATTTGCAAATGGCCATTCTCCACACCATCTGTATGAGCAGTAAAACCATCCTTCGTAGTGGAAGAATCGGGCTGTCTTGACATTGTAGGTAGGTATGCTTGTGGTTCAACTGTCTCTTGGCTCTGAATATCAGCCTCTGCCCTCCTTGCAGCTAGAATATGTTTCCTTTCCTCCACGATTGCTGAAAGATCAGAAGTTGGGCCATTAGTCCCCACTTTTAAATTTTCTGCTTCTTTTGACAAGGAATCAGCCTCTGGAAATCTTCCTATAGATGCTGAAGCAGGAGGTGCATTATTCATCCTTCCATACAACATTGCAACTTCAGATATGCTAATTGGCTCATTGGAAGTCTGACCTTTGCCTCTGTGGTCATTCAAATCTTTGCGAGGACCATCTGTATTGCCAACTGATATTATCAAGTGAATGGATATAGACTTTTTTTGATTATTGAATGGATATAGACTTTTGAAAATGAAATTTGCAAAACAAATAAATAATCAAACCTACCTTCTCTTGGAAATATGTTTCCAAGCGCAATTTCAAGATGCAACTTCTTTGGCACCAAGCCATTTCTGCAAGTGGGCAACTACAAGTTATACAGAAAAAATAAAAATAACAGACTACAATAAAGATTCTTATCACCTACACTACTGCAATACCTGAAAGCTAGAAAAACAAGGCACTGGGCTCTCAGCTGTTTCAACTGTTGTTCCTTGAAGGGCATGCCAGATGTCACAGATTGAGAGGCAGGAGACTTTCCCATATCTCTTGGAGCCATGGCTCTAAGCATATTCATTTCTGAGGCACTATTTTGCCTGCCAACCTACCCAGGAAAAATAATAAATAATAATAACCAGTAAACTCATCATACAAATCAGTGAAATTCATAGGAACATGTAGAAGCAGTTCAAAAGTAATCATTTCATTCCTCTTAAAAAGGCCACAATAGAGCCAGCACTGTTACTATCATTACTGAAGCCATATTAAATTAACAAAAATGTGCATGGAAAGAAGGGGGGAAATCATAATGAGCACCTGAGTTATCTTATTTACATCTGCTAACATATTTGAACTTCCTCCATCATGTTCGAAAACTTTTCCAGTAGAAAGTGTCGATGATGACCCATCAGGACTTGCCACAGAGCTTTTGGAAAATCCATGCTTTTGACTCTCAGAGCCGCTAAATTGGCCTGAACCTGAATATGCTAGTTCTCCTACATTATATGAGTTAGATGGGGCAGGCAATCCTTGAACCTTCCCAAAAGAACCAGAAAGTTAAACAATATCAACAATGAAATAATTATTCACCGACTAATTTGCTCTTTCGAATAATAAAGAGGGTAAGGTTGCAGAATTCAGATTGCATTCTGATGCGGGTTGGGTTTGGGATATTCAAACGAGAAGGAATTTGGTAGATTGGGAGGTTGAACAGTGCTGCAAATTATTTCTCTGTTGAACAACTCTTCTTTTGTCCCTAGTTGAGGAAGATTGTTGGATTTGGTTGGGAAATGGAGAGGGCTTGTTTACAGCAAAATCATGTGTGAATGCTTATTTTGGTAGAGAAGGTAATGTTGAATTAGAAAGCAATTGGGAAAGATATGTTGGAAAGGAAGAGCTCCACCTCGTGTGGAATCTTTCGTTTGGCAACTTGCTCATCATAGAGTAGCGGTGAAAGAGGAACTGCTGAAGAGAGGAGTAACTGGGGTTGAAGACTCTGTCTGCCCTATGTGCAGGAAGTTTAATGAGTCGGTCGCTCATTTGTTTCTTCACTGCGAAGTGGTATGGGCCTTGTGGGCTAAGTTTTAAATTTATGGAATGTTTTCTTTGTGGTTCCTGGTTCGTTGATGGATTTCTTTATGGCCTGGGATGATCTAGTGCCACGATCTCACATATGGAAGTTTATTCCAAGAGCAGTATTGTGGTCTGTTTGGAAATGTAGGAATGAAGTGATTTTTCAGAATGGGAAGGTTGATCCAGTGTTGTTCTTCATTACACGTTTCAGAACTGTTTCTTGGTTTGAAACATCAGTTAAGGATGTTCACTTTCATTTCGATTCTTTGATGGGTGATTTAAAACTTGCAGATCAACTGGGCAATTCGCATAAGAAGAATCTTCCTTCTTCCAGGTGGAGTCCTCCTCCGGAAGGGTTTTTAAAAGTAAACGTTGATGGTGCAATGGTTAAAGATTGGGATAAGGGTGGTATAGGTGGCTTGATTAGGGATGGCAGCGGGTTGGTGCTTGGGTCTTTTTCAGAGAAGGTTGGGGGAGGTCCTCCTCTGCTCGCGGAGCTTTTGGCTATTAAAAGGGTTGATTCTTATTGAGGAAGTTGAAACTGATTTCTATTCAAAACAGAGGTTTATTTTGGAATCAGACTCTTCAAATGCTCTGAAGTGGATTAATAATCCAATCCTTAGTTCTACTTTGTTCCAATCCTTGGTAACGGATATAGCTTCTACTGTGGAGATGAAGGGTATTATCACAAGGCATATCTCGAGAGCAGCTAATTGGGAAGCTGATGAATTAGCCAAAGCTGGCATAGGCTGATTTTAGTTGTGTAACTGTTAAGGTGTTGTCTTGGTTGTTACTATTAAAAGTGTATTAGGGTGTTTTATGCTTTCAGAATTATGGTTGTTTTGTTGTGTAAGAAGTTGTTGTTGTAGAGATGTGGAGGTGTATTATTGTTCCTATTAATAAAAGTTAGAGGCACTCTTTCCCTCCTTCCAATGTCCTTCATGTTATGTTTGTAACATGGAGGATAAGAAGGGGGGTCCAATGTCCTTCATGTTATGTTTGTAACATGGAGGATAAGAAGGGGGGTTTTAATGAGGCCTTATTCTATCAAAAAAAATATATGTTTGGAAATTCAGCAAACGTTTCAACTGTCCAAGATTACTCAATCTCATTCGCTATCACTCTATTGCTGGTCGCCGTCATGAAAATGGATCATTCACAAATACCATCAAACAAAGAGAAGGGCAGGGGGAGCATTTTACAAATTTGAGTGGACCAGGCCAAAAAAGTAGAAACATGAACCGAGATTGCAGATAACATGGTTCACAAAAAACCTAATATGTGACACAAATAAATTTTAACTTCTCAGACAATCTAAAGCTACATAATATCTAACTCAACAATCATACAGAAACAGAATATCATACAGATCTCGTCAGAAGCACAATATCTTCTCAGACAATCTAAAATTACAGTTCATCCTTTTTGCCTAAATAAAACTGGGAGGGGGGAAAATTTTGGAGTCCATTGAAGTGTATCTAACACAGAAATCTATCTTTTCAACTACTGAACCCATGTCTATTGAAGTGTATCTAACAAACACAGAAATCTATCATTTCAAAATCTGGAGTCCATTCTCACCTGGTATAAGAGATGCATGCATCAGCTGCTGAGATGCAATTTCTGATGTCATTTGCCAGAAACATTTGGAGAAACCTGTTAAGTTGATATCTGTCAAAGGGTAACCCGGCCTTGCCCCTAGAGGAAAGAATTTCATGCGCACCAGGTAGTCCCCTTTGCTGTTGTCTAGATACATTTTGAGTAGATGAAACTTCCACCTCTTCAGGATACTTTGAACTAGGAGCACGTGACATCAAATTGCTAACATTTGTTGAATCCACTAGGTTTTCTGTTACATTCTGACCATCTTGTCTACTTCTATGCATCGATCTCATATTTCCAGGTGAGGATGGAAAATGCTCCATCTGACCACTACTTGGGAACATGTTGTAGTTAGCAGGGCCAGAGGTTTCAGCCTTATTCATCTTCCCTTTCCTAGGATCAATAACAACGTTAAGAGATTCATCAAAATTTGGTTCCAATGGTGCTGATGACTCAGCCCTCTTTCGCTTAGTTGCAGTTGCAGCCTTCTTATTATCATTTTGACTCATTTGTTTGTCTTGTGATTGGGAGTTAGCAGACCGGGTGTCCAAACTTGATGGGCTTCCATGATCAAAAGACTGGCTACCCCTGTGAGTTCCAACTCCTTGATAATACTCATGTCCAGCAATGCTTGGGCCAACGGGCGGCTTGCTGGATGAAAATGGATCAAACTTAGGTATCTCATTTTGCATCAAACCTGCTTTAGAGTCTTTAGAAACTGCAACAGCCTGGGATGATCCTGGAGAAAAGTACCCATATATAAATGGTTCAGTCACTATGTCATGCAACAATGAGGTCACATATGGAATAATTTGCCATGAGAAGCAAAAGGAAGTTTAATTAACAGCAATTTACCAACATATTGTCCAGATGTAGAATCCATTGCTTGAGACCCAACAGTAGGATGTCGGGATGATTTCAGAGCCTCCAGATCAAGACCATGTCGATTGATAACAGTCTCCATTGCCCTTGAATAAAGAATATTATTTCAGGTAAAATAGTAGACATTCCCAGAGAAAGAGTTAACAACGTCAATGAAAATTTGACTTGAACAAAGATATATATCTTTGGACGTTAAGTTCTAAACATCATTGCGACCACTGAGATACTGAAAAGGAAAGTTATTTTAATAGTTAAATTAGCTAAAAGACAAATGCAAAAGGTAGATTTATCCAAATACATAAGAGTAAAAGATAGGAGAAAATGGAGAATAAGGACATGTTAGATGCAATTTGAATTTTAGGAGAGAGTACACTTTAATTCAAGCTAGAAAATGTAAACACATAATCCTGGAGTCAAATATATAAATCTGAACAGCAACAGCCACATAAGTGAACAAGCTAATTTGAACACAGATTTTTTACTTCAATTCAACCATGTGTTGCTTATTACAATGTTAAGCATAGCTCCACACAGAAGGAAAAAGGTAAGAACGGCTTGTTTGGGGGAAAAGGGGATAGGCCAAAGTAAAACACCACGTAACTGAGATCTATTTAATTTATGTACAACCATATTCATAATTCATTCATGGTAGGGCAATTAATGCTCTGATAGCAGAAGGGAATACACTCTTAGTCAAAGGTGTTTCAACCATTGCAGGACAACCTGAATACAGACTAAAATTATTCCACTTCTAATTTCATTATCTATAAAAAGAGAATGAAGGTTCTTGCATCCATTTAAAGGCAATAAAAACAAAGAATTCAAATGGCAAATTATAATCAGTGAACAGTGAGCAATCAAACAAATGTAGTCATTAGATCCCCCATTATCTGAATTAACTCCATTTTCTAAATCACTATGTCCGCCTAGATGAAAATAACAACACTTCTCTCACTAGTTTACAAAATCCTGTGTTCATTCATAAGACTTAAAGAACCTCAAACCATATTTCACCTTGATATTACTTGGAACGGCATCGAATGTTCTTTCCCACTAGATTTCATGTGTTGCAATATCTGAAACATTCACAGATAAATAAAAGTCAGCTGCGGTAATAAATGGTATTAAAATTAAGAGCCAACTCTGTAACTCGTGCACCATAAAGAGTTAAAGATCACTTAATTAACCAAAAAAAGCACCCATACCACATAAAGTTTTGTTGCCAGCTTTGAAGGCTCATCTTTAGAGTCTTGTATGAGTTTATGAAGAAACTTCGCTGCCTCTAACTCCACATTATTTGAAGACGCCATCTCCTCCTATGAGCTACAAAAATAATAGGCAATAATCAAGTAAAAATTATCAGTCCTAAACTATCATATTTAATCTCTGCTTTTCCAAACCAATTTGCCCTAACAAGAGTAATTTCCAACAGTAATCTAAACTCCGTACCAATCAAATTTCCACTCCCAATGTATTCATAACCAAGCCGAAAATTAATATATTAAAACAAAAAAAAAGGAACTGATAAAAAAACGGAAACTTAAGATTTCATAGTTCAGTAACACATTTCTTATGGAAGAATATCTAAAGCTCAAAATTAGCAAATTAAGCTCCCGAACTATCCAACCGGACACAGGAATACGAATTACATAAAAATATGTTTGTTTCTCGAGAAAATGTTCGCTTTTACGGAAAAACTAGTTTAGCGGCGAACAAAAAGAAGCAACCCTAAACGAAGAGAAATGGTCAAATACAGGGAAAAGAGAATTACCTGATCCAAGATCGAAGAGCTTAGAGGTCAGCTACATGGAAAGGGTGACTGGTATAGGAAACTACTTTAATAAAGAAAGAAAAAAATAACGAAAAATACAGAGATTTTTTGGTTATGCAGGAAAGAGGAAAAGCAAAGTGCAAAAATGAGGTTATCCCCAAACACATACCTTTTAACTCGCAGGTGCGGAATTTGTTCTGAGAATTACATATTTACCCTCCTCATTCCTTTATTTTATATGGATCTTGGGCTAAAGGCCCATGGATTTACGGAGCCATACTGATTATCAAATTGGTTTATTTCAGAAATTGAGGTGAGCCTTCTATCACTGACCCAAAGAGGAATCAAAAAGGTCATCCGAGAAAAATCACATTGTTAATGGTCAAATTTTGACAGCCACGTTCATCATTGCTATGACCCAAAATGATTTATGAGTATAGAGTGAATAACATAATTAATATTATATTTATGTGTATTTTTAAAGTAATGTCATGTGAAAATAGTAAATATGATAATAATAGTAATAAAAATGTCGAGGCTTAAAGTAGAAATAAGTGTCCAAATTATATTTAAAATCAATTTTGGGTGTCTAAAGATCAATCAGTGTATATCATTAGACTAAATAAATGTATTTTTAATTGATGAGTTTAGAGTGTACGTCGCACACCGAAACATATCATTAATGCGACGTACCAATGTACACCACTAACTAAATTGTCCTTATTAAATAAATATAAAAAATATAATGGCATATCTACAATTAATCCTTTATTATTATCTGGTTTAAATTTTAATAGGAATATAATTAAATTATATTTTTTTAAAAATATAATTATTTTAGAATTTTTTATCGTTTAGGACTATAACACTTAATTTAAATAAACTTGTATATTTATCCAAACAGCAACCATCTAAACTGATCGCAGATGACCTTATTCATAATGGAAAAATCATGTCAGGAGCAGCTCGATATGATTTTTAATTATAAAAAGCTAAAAAAAGTATACGGACCTATAAATAAATAAATAAATTAAGATGAAGTATTAGTAATTAAAAAATATCCACCGAATGAAAAGGAATTAACTTATCTTTGTGGCATTCAAGAAACATTTTTACTAAGAACTTGTAAAAAGAATGGAATATGAAAGAACATCTCACAATCACTTTTAAACTGAGAAATAGACTTTCTGGATTGAACATAAACACTATTTCTAAAGTATGAAAATGATCCAGAAAACTGAGAAAAAAAGGACAAGGTGAGTACATCATTTGAACATCAAAACCAAAGAGATTACCAAATTGAGAATACCAACAAGACTTCGACTACATGTATTATAATCACACTTCTCAGGAGGTCACCAATTCAAAGTAGCATAAATAAAATCGTCATTTATTGTACCAATGGGAGCTTCTCCCTCCATAAAAACAATTCCTTCTACATTTGCATTAGCAATTTGAGAACTTACAAAACTCAAAACAACAAAGCAACCCCAAAAACAAAAGCAATTCATTGGCCAAACCTGAAAATCAAAAGATAAAAAAACCGTTGGATAATTGTCAGTAAAATAAATAAGGTTAAAAATGAGAACATTGATATGGAAAACATTAAAAGGACACAATCAAGAAAACATATAAAAAAATAAGAATATTAAAATATCGAAATTACATAGATTTGCAACTAATAAATTACTTTTCGTTGGTGGATGGAACACATTATTTGAGGATAAGGTTGTCAACAGTTGGTTTTGATGGTCGTTGAGATGAATTTGTAAATTTATATAAATTAAGTGTTTCAATCCTAAAAAATAAAAACTCCTAAAATGATTATAATTTTTATATATATATATAATTTAATTATATTCTCCTGCAAAATTTAAACTAAATAACAATAAATGGTTAATTATTGGTTAATTATGGGTAGGTCACTATATTTTTTATATTTTTTTAAGAATAATTTAATTAGTGGTGTGCATCGGTATATCGCATTAGTGGTATATTTCAGTATACGACGTGCGTTGTAAAATTTTCCTTTTTTAATTATTTATTATAGAAAATAAATTTATTACAATACTTAAATTGTTTTAATATTAGATGTATCTCCATATTAATTTTTTCCCCTCTTGATTTTGGTTGGGAGGGATGGTTTAGAAGAAATAAAAGATTCTCTTAGATCAGTTTGGTGAATATGATAGTTAGTTGCTATTGAGCATAAAAGATTTACTTACCTGCATTAAAACACCACCAATGTTGTCTTCTATTGTCTTCTTTTTTGCAAAGCCCCGTAATTTACGCCAACTTCACTTTTGCTGCAAATCTCCTGTTTTTCTCTATTTACATCTATGCTCCCCAAGTTCATTCTTTCTTAATATTTCCTCACTTTATTTAATCAGAATTGAACCCGAGACCTTTATTACCATTTTAATTAACCCAAATACTTATTTTTTTTAAGTTTTAGTGGAGGGTTTCGTAATAAATGGAATGTTATTTTTCTTTGAAGATTTGAATTCGAATAATTGAATTTAGGGTGTGTGAGCGTGATCTAGCATAAACATAATTACGCACGGTAGATTGAGTTGAAATTGATTAACCAAAACATAAGGGTTTTGCCAGATTCACGGGCTGTAAAGGAAGAATCCATCCATCAGCTAACAAATAGGTCACAACAAAAAACTCACTCATCTTTCTATTTCCTTTTTCTCATTGCCATTGCCAACCTGTAATTTCTCATCCCTGACCCATCATGTTTTGCCACGTAGCATTCGGGTCCCACTTGATATACTTAGTCTTCCCTTTTTAAAGGACTCCATCATCACTCCCTAATCTCACTCCCTTTCCCTTTGCTTTTTCATTTTCTCACTAGAAAAAATAAACTATATATTATATACATAAAACATTCGACCACTCTCCAATAAGTGTCACATTGACTTCTTCATCATTAGAAAATGGCCTCCTTTGGTTCCCCATCATCATGTATTTCATTGCCTCATCACCTTTTCCATATTCTTCCTCTTATTCTTCCGATTATCGTCTGAGTTCCGATACCCCAAACATCTCAGCTTCACCGGTCTCCATGTCGGATCCGCCATTATCCCCTTTACAACCACTGTCACCTGATATTGCTCCATTATTGCCATCTCCGGGTGGACTGGTGCCAACAACCGGCACATCCATGCCAACCATCCCTTCCCACCGAGTCCACCGAACCCCGACGACTTCATTGCTCCCGGCCCCGACTCCGCTTTTCCGCCCTTTGGTGCATTGCCGGCTTCCTCCTCATCTCCAAGACTTTCTTCCCGGTCTTTACACTTAGCAGCAACTTTTCCGGTTCTGGTAGTTGTAGCCTATTGTTTAATGCAGGTTGTTATAGTACTGTAAAATTAATTTGTTGGTTATCAACATTTAATATTTAATTTTGCTCATTTTCTTCATTTTTTTAACTATTTTGGTTCAACCACGTGATTATAATGAATCTAGTTACCTATAGTAATAAAATCCGAGCGATAAGGATTTACTGGTTTTCTGCATCAAATTGGTGGTGACCTTTACGAGGGGTCACCAAACAAGGTACCATAGTTATGTGTTTGGGTTGAGAAATCACATATATATCTAAAGAGAATAATATCGAGTTGTGTGTGACAGGGATGGATCGAGTTATTAATAATATAAATTCATCTTCTAAAATTTTATAATTTGTTCTCTAGTATAAAATTTTGTGTTCCTTCGTGATGTGTGTGATATGGTATGATGAAATTGAGAGATGAAATTACTTATGGTATGATGAAATTGAGAGATGAAATTACTTAGTGACGGACGCGTGATTTTATATTAGAGGGAATAAATTTATAAAATTTAAAGGAAATACGAACTTATAAAATTTTAGGAGTTAAAACAGATTTTTAATCAAAAATAAAAATATATTTAAGAATCTAAATTTTTTAAAGACGAATAACCCATCGATTCACCCTCAATCCATCCTTAAATACTTGGACAGTTGTTGAAATTACAACGGTAACTAGGGTGGACCGAGGGGTTGTTGGGGCATGATCGCACCCCCTAAAAATTTTAAATTCCTTATACTATATGTTTTTTTTTTTTTTATTTTCATTTAATCATATAATTTCGCACCCCTGAAATTTTATAACTTCGACTCCTTAAAATTTTTTAACTTTTCTAATTCGTACCACTTATTTGAATTCCTGCATCCGTCCCGCGGTGAGCACTGAGCATGGGTATTGTGGCTTCAACTATGTGTGGCATGTGAGACACACCAGATGACCAAGATCTTGGTGCCTTTTGTTTAATATGAAGAATGAATCACATCATGTGGTTGATGATGCTTAATATAATACCGGTATTTAGGTGAACCTGTTTTGTCTGTTTTTAGACTGCCCTTTAATCTCATCCCTAAATTTGATCCTTCTTTTTCTTTCTTTTTCGCCTTTTATACTTTAGAGTCCCATGCTCCTTGGGAGACCACCTTACCAGATGACCAAGATCTTGGTGCCTTTTGTTTAATATGAAGAATGAATCACATCATGTGGTTGATGATGCTTAATATATAATACCGGTATTTAGGTGAACCTGTTTTGTCTGTTTTTAGACTGCCCTTTAATCTCATCCCTAAATTTGATCCTTCTTTTTCTTTCTTTTTCGCCTTTTTATACTTTTAGAGTCCCATGCTCCACTTGGGAGACCACCTTATTTATTTTGTAATCCCATAATTTTAAGTATGATATAAAATTATAATTAAACATTGCATGATGCGTTTAGTTAAAACGTCAATAGCAAAAAAAAAATTGTTAATACAATTTTTTCTTTAAATAATTAATCTGTGATTCTAAAATAATATGTTCATATTTTTTTTTAGTTGTTAACAACACACTTTACAAAAATATTATTTGAAGCATCAAACTTAAAATTTTTAGGGAATAACATTCATATTAATCTCTAAGACCACTTGATAGGTTCATTAATGTAATTCTTTATGTTAGAGCTAATGATTAAATTTTATTTGGTCCGATTCAAAAAAGATCGTAGTATGATATGTTTGGTGAAAATTAATGAATTAGGAGGAAATGAGGATATGTGATGTATGTGGAATATGATACATTTTATTCAACTAGAGTTATTGTGTCCATATAAT